CTTTGGCAGCTGGGACGTGACACATGCCTAAGAGTTTACTGTCATAATAACTATGGTAGACTTCTTCGACATACGTATATCTGTGTTTGTTGAATGCTTGATTTCGCATTAATATTGATGATTCATTTGCATCGTTTGCAGTAACATGTGTTAGTTTCAACCCTCAAGATGAAAATCACTTCATAAGTGGCTCGATTGATGGTAAAGTTCGGATCTGGGAAGTTCTTGCTTGTCAAGTGGTTGATTATATTGATATCCGTGAGATTGTAAGCGCTGTCTGTTACAGACCGGATGGAAAGGTTTGATATAGTTTTGTCATCTTCGTGTTCTTTTGTTTGTCGACCCCATCCCGGTTTGTGTTATATTTCCTACCTTCTTATTTTACTTGTTTGTAGGGAGGAATCGTGGGATCCATGACCGGGAACTGCCGTTTCTATAATATTATAGGTACGCGTACTAATCCTTTTTGTTCTTTCTCTTTATGTTGTGTTATTATTCTTTTAATTAATATAATCTACTTGATATGCATAGAACTCCTTGGAAATGCTAAGGTTTGCCTCTAGTTCCAATTTATTTGTGTAGTGTGATATGACTTTCTTAGTTGCAAGACGAGTTGATTGACTGTCATAAATCAGTGTGAGATCCCACATCGATTGGAGAGGGGAACGAGACATTTCTTATAAGGGTGTGGAAACCTCTCTATAGTGGACATGTTTTAAAATCTTGAGTGGAAGCCCCAAAGAGGACAATATCTGGTAACAGTGGGCTTGGACTATTACACAGGGTATAAGAGCCAGACACCAGGCGGTGTGCCAGCGAGGACGTTGGACCCCAAGGAGGGTGGATTTTGAGATCCCATGTCGGGTGGAGAAGAGAAGAGAACATTTCTTATTAGGGTGTAGAAACCTCTCCCTAATGGACGCATTTTAAAACCTTGAGGGGAAGTCTCATAGAGGACAATATCTGCTAGCGGTGAGCTTGGGCTGTTACAAATGGCATAAGAGCCAGATATCGGACGGTGTGCCAGCGAGAACGCTGGGCTCCCAAGAGAGATCGATCACGAGATCCCACATTTGTTGGAAAGGGGAACAGAACATTTCTTATAAGGGTGTGAAAACCTCCCCATAATGGACGCGTTTTACACCTTGAGAGGAAGCTCTAAAAAAGATAATATCTACTCGTGGTGGGCTTGGGCTGGGTGTGATGTAGGGTACGATTGTACAAATCAAGGCCTCTCAACTTCAAGCTCCATAAATCCATACTTATTAAACTGTGAGCCAAATTTACTTTTGGAAAAATTGCACAAACCATCCCTAAACTATAGGGTTGTTACAATCACACCCCCGAACTCTTAATTTGGTCGATCACCCTATGAACTATGAGATTTGCTACAATAACAACCGTAACCTTTTAATTTGATCGATCACTCTAGTAGTTTGTGCTATTGCAATCAGCCTCTTCGGTCAGTATTGATGTTGAGTTTATTTAATATTTTATGGATTCAGATAATCGATTGGAGCTCGATGCTCAAATATGCTTAAACGGGAAAAAGAAGTCGTCTGGGAACAGAATAATTGGCTTTGAGGTATTTATGTGGGCATCCAAAAGTCTTCCCAGCATATCGATTTGGTTCGCTTTTGTATTAATGCTATTTTGTTTTTACAGTTTTCGCCTAGCGACCCGAGCAAACTAATGGTTTGTTCTGTCGATTCACTGGTTCATATAATTTCTGAGGGCGATGTCATTTGCAAATTCAAGGGTATGCCAATGGTTTCCTCTTTCGGGTTAATGCCAACGAAGAACGAAACAGAATCGTTAACTTTCTTCCCCTGTTTCTCTTGTTAGGTCTTAGAAATGGTGGAAACAAGATGTCTGCTTCTTTTACATCTGATGGAAAGCATATTGTTTCAGCCAGTGAAGAAAATGTCTATGTTTGGAACTATAATTGTAAGGACAAAGCATCTCGGAAAAAGAAAATTTGGTCGTCCGAAAGTTTCTTCTCTCGTAGCGCGGCAATAGCCATACCTTGGTCTGGTGTGAAAATCACGCCCGAACCGCCATTGTCCCCAACACAAGTTTGCAACACAGCAGGAAGTATCCTCGAAATGGAGCCAAAGTATCCCGATGACAATGGTGATAGAGAACACAAGGTTCCATCATCTTCACCGGATTGCTTCTCTCTGAGTCGCACGCTATTTCCCGAGTTGCTCAAAGGAACTGCAACTTGGCCGGAGGAAAAACTCCATGATTCTAGCTCAATAACCACCCCTTTCCCTTCAATGTGCAAGACTGAGTTCAAGCTTTTGAAGAATGCTTGCCAGAGCATGCTTAGCTCTCCGCATATGTGGGGTCTCGTGATCGTAACCGCTGGATGGGACGGACGAATCAGAACATTTCTCAACTACGGTTTGCCTATTCGGTTATGACTCAATTCTCTTGAAATCACTTAGTCAACAGTAGTAGCCTGCCGAGTTAAGGGGAGTTCATGAATCATGAACCACCCTCAATATATCATTCCGACCTGACTGAACCATCTTGTTTATATGATTTAGTTAAACATCCCGTGCAGGTCTTCGATATTATCGGTATAGTACAGGTTTAATTATATGATTACATGATTCTTTTATTTGTGAAGGCTGTGGGAGCCTGGTTTCAGGAAATAGAAAGAAGAAATAGGTATTAGGTACTCAAAAGAGGCAATGGTCCTTCCATTATATGTGTATAATAGAGGCATCTATCTGGTGGGGCTTTTGGCTCTTGCTGTCGCTAAATTTGGATATCTGTGAGTTTATATTTCCATTCAATGAAGGAAATTGATTGTCCTTGGCTTTGATTATGACATTGATCTGCTGCTGTTCTGTTTCTGTTCTGTTCTTTCTTCTGGGATATGTTTACGAACTTCATTCTATCAGTCAACCAGCTTGCTTTCTAATTGACTGTGATACTCAAAAGAAACAGGAAGGGCTCATGACATTTATATATTGTTTGGAACTCATACTCAAACCTTTCTTGTAGGGTTGTCCTTATAGTTGAAATGGGACAGTGTTCAAACTCTTAGAGTATGCAGCATGTCTCCACTTTGACCAAACCAGCCCAAATGGTAAGATTCTACCAAGGTGGGTTCAAAACATTTTTTATAAGGGTGTGGAAATCTCTTCTTAGTAAGACGCGTTTTAAAATATTGAGGAAAAGCCTAGAAGGGAAAGTCTAAAAAAGACTATTAGCTAGTGGTGGGTTTGAACTGTTACAAATGGTATTAGAGTCAAACACTGGTTGGTGTGTCAGCGAAGACGCTGAGCCTTAAGAGAGGTGGATTATGATATCCCACATCGATTGGAGAGGGGAACAAATCATGACTTATAAGGGTGTGGAAACCTCTTTCTATTAGATGCATTTCAAAATCTTGAAGGATAAGCCCATAAGGGAAAGTCCAAATAAGACAATATTTGCTAACGGTATCAGAGCCAGATATCGGTCGATGTGTCAGTGAGGATGTTGGGTTTCAAGAGAGATGGATTGTGAGATCCCACATCGGTTGAAGAGGAGAACGAAACATTTCTTATAAGGGTGTGGAAATCTCTTCCTAGTAGACGTGTTTTAAAACCGTGAGGCTGACGCGATACATAACAGGCTAAAGTGGACACAATATCTGTTAGCGGTGGGCTTAGGCTATTACACAAGCAGTCGAACTATTTTTTGTCCATGACAGAGCTGATTCAAATGGCTTAATCTCTGAGAAAATAACAAAATTAGTATCAAATCAAATTGTGAAAATAGAAAAGTGTCTGATATGGTTTAGGGTTTGATAGCATTTTTGGGAATAGAGAGTGCCATTTGGGCATTAAATTGAAAGTGTAATGCAGGCAGCTGTCAAGAGCATAGGGGTTGGTGGTTCAGCTTTGCCTTTCAACATACCCTACACAAATAATGCACATCCTCTTCTCTTCTCCAAATCAATTTCCAATTCACTTTCCATTGTTATGACCACATTATTGTTGTGTAGGGTAGGTTGCAATCCAAGGGATACCCTTAAATTTCACCCGTTCATACTAATTATAGGTCGTTCTTGCCATTTTTTTTATGTCTTTCTAAACTCAACGTCACATACGATAGGGTTAAGAAATTCAAATATGTGGCCCTTTAGTCAAGGGTATGTACTCTAAATCGCTAAGAAACTCGAATCTCTGACCTCTTAGTCAAGGGTATATATCCTAAACTATTAAGAAACTCTTAACTTCTAACCTCTTGGTCGTTGGTATATACCCTAAACTAAACTAACTAAGGTTAAATATGTATTTAGTTAAGGTTAGGGCTAGGGTTTGGGTGTTTGTTTGGTAAATTTTTGTGATTTTAAAATTTAGATTTGGTGAGGTATTAATTGTGACATTTATTCTTGATTTAATAAAAATTGAATTTTTGTGGTAAAATAATTTTACCTCTTCTAATTTTCCAACTTTAGTTTTTATGTTGGTATTGGTGGAAAAAGAAATAGGAGAAAAAATGTGCAATTTTTCTAAATATAAGAATATATTACTTTTTCTTTTTTAAAAAACTACCAAAATATTCAAAATTTTAAAAGTGGGGATAACTTCTATGAATCACTCAATTATTATTTAACATTTGAGATATTTTTAAATTTTCTTTTTGGGTTAAAATATGGTTTTTTTTTAATTTTTGAATTTTTAATAAATCTTAAATTTAGTCGTAATTATTAATTTATTTAAAAAAAAAAAAAAAACTACAAGCATTTCTTTTATAAATTTTGAAAGAAAATCTATTTAGATATTGTGTTTTTTATACTAGAAAATTATTATTATTATTATTTTATAAATTATGATAAAAATTATCTTTGAGTGATTTTAATAAATTTTAGAAACTAAAATAAAATGGAATGCGGAGCTGTAACCAAAATATTTGAATTTAAAGAAACTCCAAATTAAATACGATTAAGGTTTAATTAAATATTTAGTCAGTAACTACGACTATATAGGATACTCGGAATAACATTATAAATTGAGATCCAATTCCCAAACACATTCAAAAACACTGAAAAAAATGAAACGAAACTCTATTTCTCGTTGCACCATTTTTTCAACTTTCTATTTTAGATCACCGATCAAACTCAGCTCGAGTTCTTCCCCTTTTTCAATTCTTTCTCTATAAAAAAGAGAGTATATTGTGTTGCTCCACAGCTCTCACTCTCTAAGAAATGGGAAGAACATCATCATGTTGTTCCAAAGGAGGCTTACACAAAGGGCCATGGACTGCTAGAGAAGATGCATTGCTTGTCAGCTATATTCAACAACATGGTGAAGGCCATTGGAGAGCCTTGCCAAAGAAAGCTGGTGAGTTCTTCAATCTTTTCTTCTCCATTCATGGAGTTATTTCTTAAAACGCTCTCTATGAATGAATTTAGGTTTGCTTCGATGTGGAAAGAGTTGTAGATTGAGATGGATGAACTATCTTCGACCCGACATTAAACGTGGCAACATAACCCCCGACGAGGACGACTTGATTATAAAACTACACACTCTACTTGGCAACAGGTGGTCTCTCATTGCCGGTAGGCTTCCTGGCCGAACCGATAATGAGATAAAAAACTACTGGAATTCCCATCTAAGCAAAAAGTTGGCAATAACCAAAGACAATGCAGGAGAGGCAAAGGAGAAGATCATCACTACAAACTCTCCAAATGGAGAGACATCAGACAGTAGAAAACCGGCCCGAGTTTCGAACGGCGATAACTCGGGCAGTGGCATGGCAAGCGGGCTACCTTTTTTGTCGGGAAATCAAGGAGGTGGCGGCGAGACCGATCGGTTGGCTGTGAATGGAGGAGGAGAGATTGAGAAGCTGAAAGGAAGGGAAGAAATGGAAGAAAGTGGGGATCTTTTTGGTGGGTGTGAAGTTTTCTATGAAGGGTCGTGGAACTGTTCTGAAAATGGAGAAAGAATTGAAGAGGTTGAAGATGATTCTTATCAACAGCTACTCAGCCTGCAGGGAGAAGATTACATTCAGTTAGAGTCCTTCATTGATTACTTCTTAATTTGATTCTTTCTCTCCTCTTTCTCTCTCTACTGTATATTTCATTATATATATATATATATATCCAGTTTTGGTTTGGTGGATTTGAAGTTGAATGATTATTAAATATATTGCCTTCATTACAAAAAGTGGCTCTACTTTCTATTACAAGTGCGTTGCAGTATCTTTGGGTTATTTTAGTAAGGGTTACTGTTCAGAGAGTGCATGGCCAATTGCACTGTGGTAGATGTCCAATGGTCTACTCTAAATTGAGTATCAAATATAAATGAATTATAAACATCGTTACCGGCAATGAGTCATCAGTGTCGTGACACCCAAGCATGATTCATAACTCGACTGGTTAAGACACATGCTCTCGATCAAATCAGCCATCAATGACTTGATTTGACCCTCCAAATCCATGTGTGGCTGTTTAACTCTATAGACTTCTTCTGTACACATTTTCAAGGAATTAAAATAATTCATGCATGGATGCAATGCCAGACATGAAGACAGAATTCAAAAGGGCCATAAATCACCCCAGACTGACCTTCGAGCTTGATGATGTGAAGTAGGATTTTTACTCTGTGTTGCAATGACTCGCTCAAACGATCCCTCCGAGGCATCCAGTTTTGTAGATCGACAAATATCCATCAATACATGCCTGCCCTTCGAATTGGTGAAAATACAATCCTGCCCCAACCACCACCAAGATCAGCAAGCGCCTAATCTCCTTGTTCCTCTCCTCCCTCTTCTCCATCTTCATCAAGAGTTTCAGTTTCCATGGCATCAGAATCATATGTATCTGGATCCACTTCTTGGTATGGAACAATATCTTGTGTGTTCAACTTTATTAGATCCTCTGCCATGGGCAAAGTAAGGATAATAACAAATAGAACAATTTAATGAAACTGTAGCCAATGTAGCCAATGGAGAACAGTTGAAAATTTTAGTTGTCTTCGTTTACAGGCTGGTTTAAAGAGAAACGAAGGATATATTATATTATATTCATTAAATGTTCACCGTAGTCGATCTCTAGATCTTCTGGATTTCTTTTGGCATGCTGTTCCTTTAGCTCCTCGAATCTCATGCCGTCGAGAGGCCATGGTTCCCTGGATAAATAAAAGTGAAGTTTAGAAAATGAAGAGAAATATGTTTACGGTATTGAGAGTCTACAAATAGTAATAAAGCTGAGGACATGAGGTTGGAGAAACTAAAGATATACACGAACAAACTTCTAAAAATCAACACAATATCATTTGAACGATCCTATTACTCTTAAGAGAACTGAACCTCAGAACTTTGAGATCATGAAAACAGAAAATAAAATTAACTCACCGAGGGCGTTGTCCGAGCCTGAAAGCAACGAAAGGAAAATTTTCATCCTCGAAGCCTCTTAAGGATTCACCCTTGGAACGCTACACAAAATAAGGTAAAAGATAATATGCGAAGGTATCTCAGATCCATATATTTTATTAAACACTGAGGGTGCAACCAGATTCTTCATAAGAGCATTCAAGATCCACAATAAAAGATGGAAAATCGCTTTCCCCAAAAAATTTCTTTTACTTTCTTTTTTAAAGAACTCGACATATAGAACTGAATGAATTTACGTCATCTAAGAAACTTCTTGAATATTAATCATAATTAAGCATACAAAACATAACAAAGTAAATTTGATATACTCATTTTATGTGTTCAGATACTACCCCTTTAGATGATCATTAGGCATTCACTATCACACAGACTTAACACTGAGTGGTATATCTCAGGTATTTCGAGCCACTAGAAAAATAAGAGATGGGTGCAAGATCCAAAAGCGAGAAGGCAAATTGTCGGTCACGAAAAGCAAACAGAGAAATTGAACACATGAACATTGCAACTTCTCTTGTAAAAAATGATCAAATATCCATGTTAAGCATAAGATAACATACAGCTGACAACATGAATGCTTAAGAAACAGGGGATTGAATGCTAAGAAGAGGAACCTTGTAAGCTCGTTGCGTAGATGTCCTCTCCAACTGCTGAACAAAATGGCAATACTTCCCAGAATTCTCTAATGGACATTTTCCATCATGAGGACACTGATTAGAAAGATAGAAGCAAGTACAGAATATTAAGCAGATTAGTACCAAGGAAAAAATTATACATATATCAAAAAAGGTAAGTATGGGTGGAGTATTTCAAAATTATAAAACCAAGAGAACAGAGAAAGAACCTGTTATACTCACAGGAGCAACTACATATGCACCGCGTTTTTGAGTTACCAAGTCCTTAGAAGACATTCTTGTTGTTTTCAGATTCATACCATTTCTATATATCAGGAGAAAACGCAATCATTAATGAGTAAAAAATGATCCACTGTCAAATAGATGCAATAAAAATATCAACATACCCTTGTTTCCATCCACAATATATTAGATCAAATTGAGATATGATATTAGATCCATGTGGTGTTCAAGGTTCAACCAAGACCTAAATCACGTTCACATTTCGTAAATTACATGAAGAAAAATTACACTTAAGACTGCAAAGGCCAAAACAGAACCAGTGAAACAGGATGTAGGCTTGCAAGAACTAAAGTTTTGGAAAAGAAATTCCTGCAATTTATGGTACTTCAAGGTTGTATATGTATGGCAAGAAAACGATCGCCAGAAAATTTTCTTATTACTTATAGATTAAATATACAGTCATATTATAAAAGAACAAGTATCAGAAAAAAGTTGGTATACTTGATGCCCAAAGCTAAAATTTTTACCAGAACATCTTTCGTAAGATTCCAAAGCTGGCGTACAATGGTTACCCTGTCCTTCAATGACGGTATCTCTCCGAGTACATAAGACTTGATCCCACAGATATAAGATGAAACATCGATTAGTACTCTGATCTACCAAGCTAAATTACCAGAATTTTTCATGCTTGCAGTGATTTCAGAGATATAAACAAAAGAAAACGGAAAAGAACAAAAGCCAGGGGCCAGGAGCTTCTTGCAAAGAAAAATGTTCCAAAACATACTGGTAAAGTATTTTGAAAGAGTTACTTACAGCAATAACAAGGTCATGTTCTCTCTCTCACTTACTAATATATTTGTTAAGCGCCTGAATGCTGTCATAACCATGAACAAGTGGCAAGTTCTTTAGGCCTAAAACAAATACAATGTGTAAATTTTGATGTATGTATAAGAAGAAAAACAAGTGTTCTACAATAAGTACCAGTTCAAAATTACAAATTGCAGCAAGAAAATGGAAAATTCCTCAATACGTTGTATCAAACTCCGCCCAGCATGTTGCATTGATTGTGATGGTTCTACTATATTAACTTTCTGTAATAGAATGGGGCCAGACCTCTCGCAGAGCCCTAAAAAAATGAATTAGATCACAATTGTGATGTCCCACATTGGTTGGAGAGGAGAACAAACCACCATTTATAAGAGGGTGGAAACCTTCCCCTAGCAGACTGGAAGCAGATGCGTTTTAAAGCCTAAAGAAGACAATATCTGCTAGTGGTGGATCTGGGCCGTTATAAATGGTATCAGAGCTAAACACCGAACGATATGTTAGCCTTCTCGCTGTTCCCCGAAGGAGGTAGACACGAGGCGGTGTGCCAGTAAGGACGCTGGGGCCCAAAGGGGGTGTATTTGGGGGCGGTCCCACATCGATCAGAGGAAGGAAAGAGTGCCAGCGAGGACGCTGGGCCCCGAAGAGGGGTGGATTGTGATGTCCCACATTGGTTAGGGTGGAGAACAAACCACCATTTATAAGGGTGTAGAAACCTTCCCCTAGCATACGCTTTAAAGCTTGAGAGGAAGCCCCGTTCCAATAATATAATCAGCTATTATAGGCTTATGACAGTCCATGCATTCTACATCAAATAAATGAATAAAGTAGCCTGTGAAATCAAGCATAACACTTTTTACCAGAAAGCTGAACCAGTGCCAGCACCAAAATCCAATACATTAGATGGAGAGAAATCGAGTAGCCTTCTACGGACCTAAGTGCATAACGTGTAAAAAAGGAAAAAGAAGTTATGAGAAAATCATTCCCAATCATAGAAACCGACCTGAATATGAGAATGACTTTAAATAAACAGCAAGCTCCCAAATATAATCATACAAGTTTCAGTAAGAACATGATTGAGTCTTAAATCGTTAAATCCTTTATGATAACTATCATGTGAAGGCTAATTCTTTCCACTAAATATTTCATCATATTCAAATGCGTTCTCATATGCTATTCAATTCCAGTTCATTTCTCGAATTTCTGAAGATGAAAGATAGCTAATATAGTGAGTTAGTAAGTAAGCAGAAACCTATGCTACCTCGTTAAGAACGGGAGGCGACGTAAGCAATCGTCTCATCGTCTCTGTACTGAAAGCCAATATCACCATAGCAACTCTTAATCTTCCAGCGCTTGGATTGCTCTACTGATTTCAGAGGATCTTCAACAAGTTCCTTTGAAGTGGTTGCTGCCAGGTGCAGATTAACATCCTTGATACCACTGAATGATTAAGACAGCCTCAGCACCTTCCTCTTCAAGTGTAGTACTTCTTGCTCTGGAATGCACAGAAAACGCCATGGAATGAGACGCAAAGAAAGAAACACAATCGCACAGAATTCCGAGGAAGAAACGAACGGAGGAAGTGTAACCTCGACGACGTAATTTATTTTTTAAATAATATTAAAAAAAATGGATAAAATGTAAAATTAATATTATTTTTATTAATTTAGCCATGCAATTATTTTTATTAATTTGGACATTTTCCCACATTTCGTCCATATTCCATAAAAACTCCGACCATTTTGCACCACCGCACTACCTCCCACCGTCGCCATTTGCTTCAAATCGCCGTCGAAGATCTTCCTCAACCACCTGAGCAGAGCGATCCTACAGAACATCACCAAGAAAGCTACCATCACCGAGCAATATGGGTGGAGTCAAGGGCATCAAGAGAATCCCTCGCATCAAATTCCCTAAACGACATCCCAACCCCTCTGGTTCGCTTCCATCTTCCCTTTTTTCTCGTTACTT